ATTTTTATTAAGTATTTTTGATCTAGTTTATAGTGTAAATATCTTAAGACACTTTAAATAAGACAAAAATAACTACAAGTACCTTTTCAGCCCGATATAGAGGTGTGTTTCAAGTAAATAATTCCTTAAGGGTGACTTTAAAACAGTACTAGTTCCATTGGCAGATTATTTCACTTAAAACATTTTTCAGATGTTTTCAGTCAATCTGCCAGAGGAACCGGAACTTTTTCATAAATTTTAAGGAATTATTCATTTAAAACAAACTCCTATATGTGGTGGAACTTGAAAATTAGTTTTGGTTTATTTCAAGATATCATCCACCAGAAACTAACTTGGTAAGATTTGGTGTTAAATGTCAAAGGTCACGGCTTTATAAGCGCCAAAACCAAAATTAACCCAAGAAAAAGCTGAAGGTATCTGGTTTCTGAATTCACTTCCTATTTAAAAAATATGTTTATTTTTAGCAAAAATATAGACAAAATTTAATTTCTTACAACTTACATGTAAGCAAAAGTTAATTTAATCTGGTCCTGTGGCTCAAGCACCAGGGAGGCTTTGTGTTTTTACAGTGAGAGCTGGCGTTTCTCCTCCGTCTCCCCGTTTCCTTTCCCATCCCTCCTCTAAGTGCCACTTCATCGTCTATTTCTGCGCGACTTATCCAGAGTCCTGCAAAGCCTCAACTCGTGTTTTCTGCTCTGAAGTCCTGCTTTCACACGCATCTCTCAACAACTCCTCTCCTTTTATTCCCCGCCGCCAAGCTGCTCCTCTGCCCGCTGGTGGATCCATTTCATTTTGGAGATTCTCCACCCCGGCTCCCCTGGGAGTCCGCTACATGGCTCCTGCTACTCCCCAGCATACCACAGACTCCAGACTCTAACTCCTTCCATCTGTCCGTGTCCCTCACCAACACGCCCTGCTGCACAAACACAAACTCTTTCCAAGCATTTCTGTTTCGTTTCTACCACAAATATCTTAATTCTCTTCAAATCAGACAACATTAATTTTAAAATAACTTTTCAAATCGATGTAAAAACTTCGTTTAGGTAAATAAATGCTTAAAACTGAAGTTATAATCTTTGGATCTAAAGAGAAATATACTGTAGACTAAATATTACAGCTGCAAACTCATGATCAGACCTGAAATCTGGGTGTCATTTTGACCTCTGACCTGAGCCTTCAGAGTCACATAAAGACAGTTACAAAGTCGGCCTTCTCGTAAATTTATTTTTGGGATTATTTTTACTATGCTGTACTTTTTACTTTTACTTGAGTAAAAATATGTTAAAGTATTGCTACTGTGAAACTTTTACTCACCTTTGCTAACAAGCAACTTTTTAGCAAGATATAGAGGCTTGTTTAACTCAATTATTCCTTATTATTGATGAAAATGTTGTAATTTCACCGGCAGATTAATTCACTTATAGACATTTTTTCCATGTTATTAGTTAAATAATCTGTCAGTGGAATTACACTTTTTAACCAAAATTAAGGAAATATTGACATAAAACAAGTTGAAAAGTTACTTATAAGTTAGTTTTGTCTTATTTCGAGTGTCTTAAGATCAAAAATAAACTTTGTAGGATTCTGTGTTTTTGCAGTGAACATAATCTCTCCATCTTCCTTTCCTTTTCAGTCTTCATGTTCCCACAATTTGTCTCCTGTAAACATTAGTCACCGCCCGCCGCTGACCTTCTGTGTGGCATCTTCCCAATATCAGAGCAAAGCCGTCGTCTGAGAGCAAAACCAGAGACACGTGTCTGCAAGCAGATACTGACCACATGATCATGGAAACCATCGTCATGATGATTTCATTCAGGATGTTGAAGAAGTCGCACATGATTTTCCCACGCTCGCCCATCCTGCCCATGCAGATCCCAAAGGTGATGAAGAAGCCGATCAAGCCTTGAAGAGCAAACAGAGGAGTTAGTTTACTGCCAAAATAAACACGAGCAGACGCACGCAGACTGAGAACCTGGTAGCTATGAACTCACCGAGAACATTCATGCCCCATTTGTATTCCAGTTTTTTCCTGTTCACCACCACCGGCTCGGTCTGGTTCGGTGCCGTGACCGTCACCTGTTTCAACACCGTCTGCACCTACAGGAGGATTTCAGGCTCATAACAGGCTTCTTAACATCTCAGCAGCTGGAGAATTAACTTTAAACTTACATTTTTACGCAAAATTTACGTTTTACACATTTTTGTGCTTCCATTTTCGGGTCTGTTTCTATAAAGACTACAAGCACTTAAAAAACCCACTCAGCTGATTTTGGCAATAATTTAATGATTTTTGGTGTCTGGACAATTACCATTTCAAAATTCTTCTGAATGTACACAGCAATAAGTGTTTTTGGTCTAGCTTCCAGCGCAAATATCTTATTATACTTTAATTGAGACAAAACTAATTAACAAATAACTTTTCAGCAAGAAACACGAGTCAATAATTCAAAATTACTTTTTCCATTGGCAGATTACTTCACTTATAACATGGGAAAAATTATTGTCATAAGTAAAATAATCTGCCAATGGAATATGTAACTTTTATCAATAGTAAGGAATTATTAATTTAAACTACCTCATACATCTTGCAGATAACTTGTAAGTTAGCTTTGTCTTCTTTCAAGTGCTTCAAGACACTGGAAACCAAAAATACTTGGGAAAATTAAAGTTTTTTGCAATGTACTGTCACAAATCAGCAGGAACTGAGCTTCAACTAATGACCCCTGCAAAACCCAACCCGTTGCCTAGCAACCCCAGTGGAATGCCGCCCCGTTGCCTAGCAACCCCAGCGGAGCCCCAGCATGTTTGCTCAGCTGATTTTACCGCTGTGTGCGCTGCATAATGGCTGCTGGAAAAGACGTGGTGTTGTTGACTGTAGGCTACGTTCACACTGCAAATTCTCAATTCAGATTCAAAATCCGATTTTCACATTTCCAAATGTATGCGATCTCTCGTGTGCAAACGACCTGAAAGTGTCCCGAATGTGCAGTAGTGGGCCCTGTAACGTCAGTGTTTCCAGAAGTAAACCAGTTTTTGTGATTTTAAAGTCCAGTCGGAGCCAGCACATTACCGGCCGCCGTGGTTGGTGCTGTTCTTCCTGCTCCCACATGTGAATGAGGTTCAGGTTGGACACGAACTGGCCGCACAGACTCAAGATAAATTTGAAAAGCTCTGATGTGGATCAGATTTAGGACCACATGTCCAAACGGCCTGGGTCAGATTTGTAAAAATCAGATCTGTGTTGTTCAGGCTGTCATGGAAAGATCAGTTAAAGGTCGCATAAGGGTCACTTCAGGCTGCCGTTTGAACGTAGCCATGGAAACCACTTACTGCATTCTTTTTGGATGTGCAGAAGGCTCCACTTCTGCTTTTCAAAGATGTACAGTTGTATAATAGCACATCTGTTTGCAGCCATTTTCATGTTTAAAGTGACAAAAAGCCCCCAAAACAGCTCATTCTGAATAAAATCGCATCATTTAAGAATGGCTTTATGTAAAAAAGAGTAATGAACATGTTTTATCTGGGCTGCAGACCAATCCGAACGTGTTCAAGGAAGCATAATAGGTCACCTTTAAAGAGAAGGCAAACGGAGAACAAGAGGTTTTAACATAAGAGGCAACAAAGAGACATAAAAGAGTCAAAAAGGCTGAAAGGGGAAGGAAGATTTCTTCCCACTTAAACATTCAGCCTTTTTATGACTAATGAATCCCTGATGTTTACACACAAAAGGAGCAGTAAAACAGAAATGTAAGGAGCGGTATTTGGGGGAGAAATGAAAGACAACGGATGGATTACCATGGGAAAAAACCGAGTAAAGAGGTTTGATTTGGCAGCTTTCGCCAGCAGATTCCTCACTGAGATAAGTGCAGATGTGGCAGAGCGCATTTTAAAAGAGAAAACTACTACGGTTTATAAAAAAAGAGAGAACACGACTTTCGTAAGCAGCTTATGCTTCGCTTCATTGAGGTTTGCCTCTCTTAAGGTCACTCCACAGATTTAAATCAGCGTGAGGTCTGGACTTTGCTCTGTTGATGACCCAGTTTGCACCAAACTCACATTTGACTCTAGAAGGCTCCCAGGTCTGGACCAAATGACCACCCCTCCACCACCGTGCTTGACAGATGGTACACAGTGTTTTTCTGTTGTTTTCTCCAAACACGGTGCTGGAAATCATGGCCTACTTAAAGTCTTTACTTTAAATAGGCCATAAAATTAAAGAAGTTTTATGGTTTATCCAGAAGCAGCTCTGCAAAGCTTAAAGAATAGAGTCTGTTTTTGCAGTCAAGCTGCACTTTTTCTCATTGCCTTGTCATTTAGTAGTTTAGTAGTAACTAGTTACATTTACTCAATTACATTTATAAAATATTGCTACTCTGATCTGAGTAAACTTTCTGAATGTTCTACCCTCTGATTGAAAACCAGACGTGTTTAGTACCTGTTGGAAGCAGGCCTGCACCAGGTTCTCAGGAAACAGGTTTCTGATCAGGTCCAGGAAGGCGTCCAGGCTGCTGACCTCCTGGTTCTTCGTGGATGAGGACGTGGCGCTGCTCCGCAGTTTGGGGTTTCCCGGGTGGATTCCCAGAACCAGGATGACTCCCAGGATGGCGGCGATGACAGTGGTGGACATGTAGTACACCATGGCTCTGCTTCCCATCCTCCCACTGGAGCGAGCGTCAAGACCGGCGAGACCTGGAGGTCACAGCCAGTGGATTTACAATTATTGAAGACAACTCTTCATTTTGTCTGGTTTTATTTAAAAATAGCTCCCATCTAAAGGTGTTTTCACACCTGATAGTCTGGTACACTTGGTTCGATTGGGGACCAAAATTGCAACATTTGTTTTATTTTCAGCTGTGGATTTCTTTCACACTGCACTGAATCAAATGACCCAAACCTCTGAGCACACTGCAAAAACACAAAATCTTGCCAAGTTTCTAAAACAAATCTCTTAGTACAATTGAAATAAGACAAAACTAATTGAGAACTTATCAATAAGAAATAAGAGTTTCTTTTAAGTAAATAATTCCTCAATATTGATGAAAACGTTCTAGTTTCACTGACATTATTTCACTTATGGAAAAAATGAAATTAGTGAAATTATCTTCCAGTGAAAATAGTTTTTCATCAATATTAAGGAATTATTAACTTTTACAAGTTAATAATAAGTTTTTTAAGGTAGATTTGTCTTATTTCAAGTGTACTGAGAAACTAGACCAAAAATACCTTAAGATAAGGTACAGCGCCCGTTTCACAGCAGACGCTGCCCCAATCCGCCTGTCGATCTCCCGCTCCCTTCTTCCCTCATTCATGAACAAGATCCTCAGATACTTAAACTCCTCCACTTGAGGCAGGACGAGCCCTCTGACCCGGAGAAGGCACTCTACCCTTTTCCGGCTCAAGACCATGGCCTTGGATTTGGAGGCGTTGAGCCTCATCCCAGCCGCT